GCCTGGAATTTGAAGCCCCGAGTTACTTTGTGTTTAGAATGGATGTGGAGCATTTAGTTTGACTGTGACTTTAGACTTAACTAGTGGTATGGACTTTGAAGCTAGTATCAGAATGAGTGGGAAGATGGACAGGATTCAAAAGTAGAAAGAAGGCATTGAGAGCTCTGGTCACTTTGCAGTTTTCCCCCAAATGTCCTGAAAATATTCATGAAAGATTTCAGAAACAAAAAATAACTTGAGAATTCCTGGGGCTACTTTTTATATATAGTGAATGTTAGTCTGTCTGAAAATTATTTTTGGTAGAAGACATAGTTTAACTTCCTGAGATTAGTTTATTTCCTGGTGCTTAGTGAAATTTCTTCCACAAATATGTAGCTGGTTCTAAATTTTCAGATCTGTTAGTGAAAACACATATGTCACCTACATTAATATTTTATTCCTCATATAGGCCTTCAGTTTAGTAACAATCAGTTCATGTCTTGTATTTGCTGGTACCTTGACGAAAAAATATATACATGAGAATTGTCGATCCATGTACTACTCAGCACTGAGCAACATAAGGGTTTGTAAACCTGATAACTGAGATTCTTGATTGAGTCTTTACATAGCTCTTCCTTGAGATACCTAAGAGAGTTAAAGGGGAATGCAGAATGCATTGATCATTTGAATAGACCCAGAATGAATTTTCCTATTTCCTTGGTCCAGAATGTTAAAACAAACTAAAAGGTAAACCCCTGTATATGGTTTTTTTTTTTTGGCCCATGTTTACAGGCTCATATGAAAGTTCAAATGCTTTAAAATAGTCTTGATGGAAATACTTGGTTTGTGTTATATAAATATGTTTAACCTGTTTAAAGCTAGTGATTTTCATTGTTTTAAAAATTGTGGGTTTTGGGGGTTTTTTTTGCTGTTAGTCTTTTGTTACTCTTTTCCTTTTGTTTACATGCTTCCTCCAAAGATCAGATTTGGTTAGTTTATGCTCACATGTTAGCCTTGTTCTGGGCCTGCCGGATAGTGCATAATACTCAGTAAAATCTTAAGCAATTCATTTAAACTTCCTAGGTGTCAGTTTCATTAACTGTAAATGGATAAGTTGCAGATGATCCCTTAGGAGAGTGGTTCTGAAATTGGGGGTGAGGTGACAGCAGAAAGGTGACTTTGACATTACATCTCTCTAACTGCATGTAACAAGAGATGTTACCAACAGGCATGTTTATGCATGGTTTCAAAGTAGAGAAAAGAAAGATCATATTTCTTTTTTAGTCCCTTACTGCTTTCTTTAAGATTTGTGATTCTGTGTTCATGAACTTTCCATGCTATGTATGCCATCTCAACAAAACCAAATGACTCATTTTTACAAAATTAAGTCTACTTTGATCCTGTCAGCTGTTAAAGAAAGGGTCAAAGCCCCTTAAAATGTTGAAATTGAGATAGGTCAGTAATTGTGCCTTCTATTTTATTGGTGTAGGTTTTCTTTATTTTTATCCAAAAAGTCAGTTTGCCTTTACAGTGAGTAAAAGAGAAATTATTTCTAACTATCTCAGAGAACTAGAAAGGAGAATTTTATGGTTTTATTTTTAACCTTTTTTAATTAACCATTATCTTTATCATTCTTTCTGATCACATACCTCCTTAATACATTAACTCCTCCCCTTAATACATTAACTCCTCCCCTCTGTGTGTCTACAGTATGTGTACCTGTGTGTCTATGAGTATTTTATATGTATCTAATTATTCTCTAATAAGAAAAATTCAGACTTTGGAAAGTAAACTTTGTGGCTTGCTTATTATTTTTTTATCCCACTTATTTTATCTAATCAAGAAAAACATTTTCAGCCATCTATTTTCCCCATTCCTGCTATTATCTTGACTATAATTACCTAGTTTCCTTTCTGGCTGATCTATTGCTAGCCTTTATCTGGATTTCATTAAAGAATATAAATGCTCCATAGAGCGCCATAGGCTCAGCCAGAATATTTTCAGATTCTCAGATAAAATGAAATAGAACTGGTGGTTTGGCTGTTAAGTAAGAAGCTCAGATTTGTTGTCAAGAGTGTGCAAGGGATTCTTAATTCATTATGTTACTGTTCCTGCGATGTAGCATTTGAAAAATAGCTTCAACTGTTTATGGATTGTGGTCCTTGGGCACCAGATAGTGGCTGTTGGAATGTACTGCACAAAAGCTGATAAAAATACTAGGGTCTCTGATAGTAAAAGTAGAAAGTCATTTGTAATACTTGTGTCTGTCTCTGCCAGGTGCAGTTACATGTTTCCTTTTGAGATCTGCTTTATTATTATCCACAAAGGAATAACATTTTTGCAAAAATGTGCCTTTTGGAGAAAACATCAATCAGGTTTACTTGATGCCAAGTTTATATAGGTAGACTGATTGGAACTTTGAAGATTGCAGATACTTTACAGTTTTATTACCTAGCTTATTAGAGTCATGCTTCACTGTGACTTAGACCTCAATAGTAGCTTCTTTCAGTTCCCAATTTTAATGTGTTTTTATTGCACATCAGGGAATTTATACTTAATCCAAAATATAAACTATGTTAGAATTCATTGTCTCTAAACCCCCGGCCCCCAACTTAGGTCATTTTCTCCCCAACAAAAGGTCACTGGAGTAGAGTATGGGAACATTTTTATATAATCACAAAACTTACAGCTCTTTAAATATACTTTGCATTCCCCTTGTTAAAATATTTAAATATTTCCTCATTGTTTTCAAAATAAAGTTGAAACTTTGTAGGCATTCGTGATCAGTTTCTTCTCTGCCTCATCTTCACCCATTTTCCCTCAAGTGTCCTTTGTTTCAAGTCTTCAGAGGGACCATTTCCTTTCTCATTTCTTTTACTTTGGTTACTTCCTTCTCCCACACCCTTCTTCACCCGAGGATCACCTGTTTTACCTTTGAAATTCTGTGCAAGTTTGTCCGTCTTCCAGGAAACCTACCTTGAACCACAGTTACCCCTGCTTCTTATTAATCCCATTTTGACTAGCCTTTAAACTCTTAATAGCATTTCATAAAATTCTTTTCATACTCTGCTGTAGTCATCTCTTTACTTGTCTGTCTCATTTAATAGACTAATACTCCTTGAATTCAGAGATGACTGTACCAACTCTTTTGGTTTTAAATCTGGCATATAGGCCTCTTAAATAAAAGTTTGTTGACTTAACTGAATGAATGACTTTTGTAGATAATTCCATAACTGTACTTCCTTTGCTCTTGATTGTTAAGGCACTTGAGGGTATGTATTATGCCATTTTGCCTCACAAGGAGCTTTTAAAATTGACTCAGTAACTTCCATACAGCCACCTAAAATGTTGAATAAAAGTAGGTCTTTAGCTTTGGGAAGGAAAGAACCTTATTGGCTAGGGGATATTAATATATAAATCTTAAACGGCCGATCATTTAAAGAATCTGGAATATAATATATGGGAAATTGTAAAGACCAATGCATATGATCATGTGTTCTAGTTTCTCCATGTATGTTGTTGAACCTGCGACTTCATTAGTATATAAAATTCCCTTAGAAGAGAACAGACATTCAATGATTTTTCCTTTGTTGAAAATAACATTTACAGTTTCTAGATTTTAATGTTACCTTAATCCAAGAAGCAAGACAAAGTTTAAACTAAAAGAATACTTGTTAATGATGAGTAATAGAATGTAAACATGTGCTTGTGGTCCAGAGGTGTCTTTATAGTTTTTTGCATCAATATTCTGCATTCTGTAGCAAAACAGAAACAAAATGCAAAGAAATATCCACATTTACAAATGCTAAGATTTTAAAAAATGAGCTTATTTCTTAATAGAATTGTAACATTTTTTTATTTGATCTTAAATTTTATTGCTTCATGTGTGTGAATCTGTGTATATGTGTGTTATATATACATACATACACATACTAACACGCACTTAATATTTGCTTTCACTGAATTATTTGCTTAGGCATTTTGTATAATTATTTTTTTAATGATTAGCAAATTGAGTCAGCATATTATAGCTGAATCAGTCCCCGCTGTTCTTTATATTTACTGAATGAACACACACTATATTATTCAAAGTCCTTGTTCTTCAAATGAGCTTGCAAAAGAAACTGTTAGATATTAAATGCCCTAAGAATTTTGTATTGAAGGTTTTAAATTATTTGTCTCTTCTGTCCCTGATGTATTATAAGATAGAATGGCGAAAAATTATCCACATCTCAATAGTTGGATATCTGCACATTTTCAGAGCTCCCAGCCTCTGTTTAAAAAAATATTTTAAAGATTCATCGTTGGTTAAAATTTGGTATTGGTTTTGTATAAAGTGTAGCGATGTGCAGCACATTCGAATATCATTGTCGTATAAGAATGTATTCACTGTTTTGATTTTTGGAGCGCTGCCTCCAGGAGGTTTATAACATTTGGTACAGAGTTCACGTATTTCTAGTCTACAAACCCACCCTGTCGCGGCAAAGGCTTCGTGATTCTGATTTTTTTTTCCCTACTGCTATAAAGCACAGCAATGGCGATTATTGTATTTTTTTTAACTTTCCACTTCATTACAAATAAAACCGAGTTTTTTCTTTAATACCCATCATTTGTACCTTTTAAAGAGCCACATTATTTTGCTTTTGTCTCAGAATGTATTCTGCTTCACAAGTATACTGTGTGACAGCCTGAACAGAAGAGGGGGGAAGGGGGCATTGTCTTCAGCTGGCATGCTGTTATCAGAGGGAATGTGTTTCTGGACATAAGATTTAGCATTCATTGGTTGTCTGAAGAAAGCTGTTTCATCTGAGGATTGGCCCAGAAGCTGCGTCCCTTTGCTGCCCGTCTCCAAGGCTCTGGTGATGCTGCGCTCACAAGCTGGCTAACGTCACGGCTCCATCACCCAGCGGGGTGTGGACTCTTTCTGTTCTTCTCTAGTTAATTCTCTATTTGCTGCCGGCTGCCTTTCTTCATCTGTCTTCTGCCAAATGCTAACAGCATGATATTTTGCAATCATCTAGGTGAATACAAGAAAGACGAACTCCTGGAAGCTGCTAGGTAAGTGACTCCATTCATTTTAAGTAAGTATAATGCCTTTAAGAGAGAAAAGGGGGAGGGCCGGTAGAGGACTAAAAATTATAGCATGTTATTGTCTTGCCTGGATTTTAGGTGATAATATGGGGAAAATCTTCTCCTAAATCTTTTTATAGTTTATTTTGCATGGTTAGTGTGTTAAGTAATAGTCTTTCAATATGGTGATGATTATAAGGTTAATTTTATTTGTAACATTTCTTAAGGTACCTGCAAACCTTAGTTGCCCAGTTTTTTTGAATGATATTGGTGGAGTATTTAAATACCTGAACCTTCATTTTTCTCTGAGAATTTTTCTAGCAAAGCTTGAATGAATGGCATAAAGTAAATGTTAAAATTCTCATCCATTTTCTTTTGTTCTTGATTATTTATAATTTAATTCACTGGCTTTTTACAGCATTTTGTATGTATTTTTGACTCCAGTGTTTTAGATCACTTGTCAGAATAAAGTTTGTTTGTAATTAAGAAGGTGACTTTATGTAGATAAATAAAACAAATAAAGATGTAGAAAGCTACATTATTCAGGATGTACTACTGTATTTATGGTGATTAACAGGAATTAATTAGGAACATATTAATTGAATACAGCAAAAGAGATTCACTGAGAACCATATAAAGGAAATCAACACTAACCCATATTATTTTCCATTATTTTGTGAAAAATACCCATGAATATTTAAGAAGCTCCATAATTTTATAGGAATTGACTTGCTACCTTCTTATAGGAGTGGTAATGAAGAAAAACTAATGGCTTTACTGACTCCTCTGAATGTGAATTGCCACGCAAGTGATGGGCGAAAGGTAAGGTGTTTAAAATATAATATCCCCCTCAGTAGTTTTTTTTACTTTACAGTTAGAATTTCTGAAGTTGTTATCATATATATGTATACATATGTATGACTGTTTTTGCTGGCATCTTTTCACTGTAATATGAAACGCTGCTGCATCTGTTACTGGCAGTTATGACATAGTCATAGAGCTGGTGAGGCATGGGTCTTAAGTCTTTTCTCTTCAACGTCAGACACTGAAAGTTGTGTGTTAAATGGAACTGCAGCTTTGTCGGTGATTAAAATTAGAGCATATATTGTTTTCTGTAAATGGTCATGGAAATTGGAAATATTTATTTAAGTCCTTTTTGCCCATCTTTGTTAGGATATTTGTATTTCTGCTTTCGTATTTGGCAGAGGAAGATCTGTGTTAGATACCAGCACTTTTTCCATTTAAAGCTGAAAAAATGTTGCTAATGATTTCTTGAGAGATGTAACAACCCTGTCTTATTATTTATTTATTTGTTGGCTAAGTTTTGTCATGATTTAAAAGAAAATAGATTAAAGCAGAGAGAAATGTTCTATATTAATACTCAGTTGTCATAAATGTAAGGTAATATGTAAAATTGTACAGCTGGCATCCTCATCTGCTTCATATTCTTACTGAATACAGGCTGAAGTGTAACCCTTTACAGCCTTTGGTAATTGACTGCAAAGTTTTGCAGTAATTTGCCTAATAGATACTGAGAAACAAAGCACTCCATACTGTAGTCTTTTTTTAAATGACAGTTAATTTTTTAGTGTGAAAGGATAGGTTTTGTATTTTAGAAACCTTTTAAAATAATTCTAAAGTTACACTGCAAATACTGAGAAAATCATCTTGTGCCTAATATTTAATTAATTTCTTTGAAATTGTTTATGGTGAAAATATGCTGTGAAAACCATCAGGATGGATGGTATCCTTTAGAAATAATAACCTATTTTGCTTTTAAAAAATCACTTTTCTGTGAGTGATAATGTTATAGATCAAAATTACTCAGTTTTCCTTGGCTGCCTCCACATTTTTTTCCCATTCTGGTGAAACCCATATAATAGTGGCAAGGAACTAAATCCCTTAGAATATATGTTATTTTTTTATTGCAGATAATCCTTGTATTATTTCAGATGGCCTAATGAATGTTCATTTACTTTCAATAATTTGGGGACTTTTATGGAAGGTTAAATTATGTTTATACCAAGCTATAAAATAGCAAAGATTTGCTCAGTATTATTAATGACTTCTTGGAAATGTTTTAAAATGATGACTGCTCATTTTCCCTTCAATTTTGAAGTTGCTTTGGGGATTTTAACATTCTTGAGTTACTTTGAACTCCAGATTTTGTTTGGATCCTCTCAGTAGATGAAGTGACTTTAATCCTTATGCAGAAAAGAGTCTTCTTATCTGTGGTAAGTGCAGCTACATCTTTAGACAGAGCTGTTTGAGAGCCCAGCCTAGGTCAGTTCTCCATAGCCTCTTTACTCTTCCCAAACTGATGTGAGATCACTGCAGCAGGAGTCATTTTCCACCCCAGCCTCATTCTCCACTCCTCAGCCTTACGCCTCGACAGCCCCATCTCTAGCTCCGTAAATCTTAATAATTAAGGAGCATGAACACTGTTAACTAACAAATTACCTCTTCTCCCTCCCTCACCCCTACAGAAATATATAGAACTCCTGTATTTTTCCTTCACCCCCAAAGAGGATACACCTCCCTCATTCCTTGAGCTGGAATCCCTTTATTCCGCATCCAAATTCCTAGGGCTCCTTTTCTGTATTACTATATGGCATTTACCACAGAGTTCTTGAATTATATTTGTTCATACATGTCTTCTACTCATCTGTTAGCCTTTTGTATTCTGCTCCAGACCAAGCTTGGCACTTTGCATGTAGCAGGAGCTCAGGATACAAATATACTCCCTAATAAATGTGATTTTACCCTGTAAAATGAGTGAAAAAAATCATCTGTACGCTTTGCCATTTTGAAAATTAACTCAGAGTATGTAAATGGGGGGTTTTATATTTTATATTTTATGTATGATTACTAGTATTACTTTATTAATTTAATTTTGAGTAATTATACCATGTTTATTTTAATGTATAAAACATTTGTAAGGCCATGTCTCAAATACTCTTATTATACTGAAGGATCCATAAAATATAAATAATACAATAATTTTCCAAAATGTGCTCCTCTACTTTTTTACATGAATGATTTTTGAAAATCAGGTGGAAAGAAAAAATTAGATTTAAGATTTATTAGGTTTGGTGCTATGCATGGAACATAAAAAAATCATCCAAAATTTTTCCATTGGTATGCAAAACACAAGTTTCATTAGTAAAATTGAATAATGTTCATATGTAAATACTACCCTTGTTTATGGCACAAAGTAATTCTTATTAATTGTACCAGTTACAGTAAAGCCGTGACATGGTAAATATTCTGGATGCTAATGGAGATTGGGCTAAGATCCCTGAGTTATGACAGTATTTTTTGTTTTCTTGCTGTTGATGTCAAGAAAATGTGTAAGCAAATCTAGCTGCTATGTTACAAGTCTGTCATGTATTTTTAGTATTTGTTTGGGCTATTGCCATGTTCAGGTGTTTGCCTAGAATTAGAAACTCAGATTTTGTATTCACAAGAGGATAAAGGTACTTATATAGTAAGATATATAAAGTTATATTTTGTTAATTTGCAGTTTAGAGCATAGTACAGAGTCAAATAAATTTTTGGAAGGTTTCTAAATGACTGTATTAATGTTTAACTGAGTCCTTGGCTATCTCTGATTCCTGGTCTATAAATTTAAAAAGTCCAGACAAATGTCAACTTTGTATCGTTTTTAGAAAAGAAATCTTCCTATCCATTAACTAGTAGGCAGAGATTTTGCCTAGTTATATGTGGGGGTTTTAGACATCAGCATTCTTTTTTAATGTAATACATGGGTTAATACAGTGACAGTGTAAATTTTAAACAATCTGTAATTAATACTGTGACTTGATGATTATCCAATTAGGTAATATGTGAGTGATTAATATTGTTATTTCCCACAGATACTTTTTTTTAACCTATAGAATTCTGAAAATAGTGAAATACCAATAAGGTTTCAAGTTATTTATATTGTTATTTATGCTTTTTTATTACATATAAACCAAAGTGGAACTTGGCTACTCTACAAATTTCCAGTTCTTCTTCCCCCCCCCCCAAAAAGCAAAGGCAGAACATCTTTTTGGTAATGTTTTGTTCTAAAATGCCACTTTGAAACATTTTTATATACATGTTTTAAAAATGGCCACTTCGGAAATGTAGGGGCATGGATACAATTTATTCTTCAATCTCCTGCACATTATGGTTAGGAAGGACCTTCTGCATTTCCTTATTCTAATTGCAGTGAACAGCAACCAGATCCGTAAAACAGATTGTTCCCCTTTCAGAATTTTTTGTCCCTTTATTTTTAAAAATAGAGTTTTTATCTTTTAATGTCCCTTTAGAGTATTTTTCTATTGAGATCAAATATTATTAGCAATTATCTCAATATTCTGGCTTTGTTTGAAGTGTGAATTTAAGGTGGTGGTGGTCTCTTGTTTTTCAGTACAACTTCACAAACATACCTTTTTATGATGAATGAAAGTAAATACTTGAATACATCTCAAATTATCCTAACACACAACCCTCTTCAGAGTTCATTTTGGTTCCCCTTGCTTTTGGAATGTTACTTCCCTTTCCTGGCTGCCTTTATCCCCTTCCAAAATAAACATCCCCAATATTTCCCCTTCTAATAATAAGGAATAGGTTGGAATTGGGCATCACTGTATGTATTCCTACTTAGAAATATGTATCTTTGCTTGCATGTACTATGCCTACTATTGCTATGATTGTAAGTCACCAGATATTGAAAATAACTGATATTTGGTTGTTACTACTGAATGTAGTTTCTGACATTTCAGGTTTCTTTCTGCTCCTTACATTCATTCAACCAAACTCAATAATTACTATGTGTAGGTCATTGTGCTAAATGTCATGGGAGATAAATATGTGTTTAGTGGTACTGGTTCACAAAGAGCTCAAAATAGGATAGAATGATTGGCATTATCCAGTACATTGAAGCTAATGCTTTTTAAATTTGTGGTTTCTTTTTCTGTGATACAGTTATAAAGTGTAGATTTAGTGTGAGATTTTTTTCTGGCTTTTTTATTTTTTAAGCATTAATGTTTAGGCATGGATGCTCTTTTAAGAAACCACAGGTTTAGATGAACAGGCAATTGGAGGAGCATGATTTAAATTCAGAAATATTACCTGAAGGGTTTCTTTAAATATCAGATTTCTACTGTGTAAATGTTTGCTTCCATAAAATAGTTAATAATCAATAAGACTCTGGAAACAGAGAAAAGTAAAGTGTTGGAAAATCTTTCTTAATAGAGATCCATCAGAAATAAAGTAAAATTTAGTTTTATCCCTTAAAGATACCATAAAAAACTAGTTTAGTTGAAAGAGGAAATAGGCTGAGGTCAGACAGCTTGGGTTTGAGTCTCTGCTCTTCAGCTGTCCTGGTGTGCGACCTATGGCTCTACAGTTTGCAATGTAGCCATTCATAAATGAAAAGGGAGACTCATTCCCATTTCACAAGGTGTTCAGGAGGATTAAGTGAGATAACATGACCAGTGTATATAGTTTGTTGCACATAGAACCTTAATAAAATAGATCCCTACTCCTTGGATATGTATTTAGGATGGACACACACATATTTTGAGTACTCCAGCATTCCCCATTTCCCCAGTGATAGTTATTAATCCAAGCTCCATCCCAGGTGGCATTTGGTTAAAATGTAAGTTATTAGGTAATCTACAAAGCATGTAATTGAATTAATTCTTTTGGAGCTCTTCATATGGTAGATTGTTACTTTGAAGACGTGTTAGTGAACTGTGCCCCTCATTTACGCCCATGTCTAGTCCCTTCCCACACTGACTCTTGAGTAAAGCCCGGGACTGCTTTGATGAATA